TGTAAACTATGGTTTTATGTAATGAAGTTACTGGCTTTGTCCACATATTGCCATTTGCTTTACAAAACAATTATATTATATACAGGTAATGAAATGGAAGGTGCTGTCAAGACTGTGTCACATAAAAAGCTATCTTCTTCTTTGGAAAACATTGGCTCCTCTGCCGCCACGAGTTGGTGCGCCTCTTCCTCTTGCAGCGGCTGTAAAAATAACACAAGAAATGAGCATAACGAGGCTCAAGTTTCGTTCATTTTTTTTTCTAGCTTTTCCCTAAATTTTTGGTGCCATTGCTGCATACAGAAAAGGCACCAAATCCTTATTCTTGTATTTTGATTCAAGTGCCTTTGCAGTGTCTCTAGTCTGCTTGGCTTCAAATTGATGTTAAAGAATAGTTAACAAGCTTTCCCACACTTACTGTGCTTTTCAAAAACACACAAATTCTGAAGGGCAAAAGCCAACTGCCCTGTTTTTTGCTACCATCAATCATCTTAGTAAACCTCTTAGGAAACAGTAGCTTACTTCAATCGGTTCAAAAGGTCATTGTTTGTCATTTTTGATTGGTGGATTTGGATCCGTTTTGTGTGTTTCTGTGTTTCGAGGTTCGTTGCTTGTATTTGTAATATTATTATATTTGTCTTAGATTTGACAAATATGGTGTTCGAAGGAGTAACATGAGCAAGCAAATGCAAACTTGGATTTTAAATTGATTCATGCTTTTAACTGTCCAACTCATCTTGCAGTCTTCAGTTTTGAATTAGTTATTGTCTGGTAATAACCATTTACTAAGCTGACACTTTCAGACAGACTCACTGGACCACAGAGTCTAATTTGATCAAACTTCTATTTTTCCTCGCCAAAGATCCAAATTTACTTGCCCTGCGACTGCCATTTTACATGGTTGCCTGAGCCACACGAAGGTCTGGCCGGTTGCAGTGGAAAGGGATTAACTTCCCTTCTAAACTAATTTTAAGACCCTGATATTGCTCCAGCCCCAGGGGCATTGAACCTGGGACCTCCTACTGTGCAGTCAAGCTCCCTATCAACTAAGCAAATCCTGCCTCAGTCTTAGGTCACTGTGGCATTCAGAGGCTAAACTTCAGAAATACCTACAGAACAATGGGAGTATGGGAGTGTGAATTGAAAACACACCATTTGCTTAATCACTGTGCGACTAAGTCAGAAGTTGATTGACACCGCTTCGAGGTGGCTAGGTATTCTGAGGTTGCTTCCCACTAATGCTATTCCCCTTACAAAATGAAGTTCGATTTAATTTAAAGTAATGGTCTCTTTGATGTGAAGCAAACACAAAAGACCATTACTTAACAATCAACTGACAGTGATAATATTATACCTTGTGCTCTCAGGATAGCTGATTTGCCTCTACCAGCTGCTCCACTGCCTCCAGAACCCTTTTGTGTCATTTTCTTGAACATGGGAGCATTTTTCAACATGTCCGGGAGAATCAAAAAGCGGATCTTGCTTCCTCGAATGAACACTTGTTCTAGTTGTGACACTCGGCCATCTCTTGCAGTTACCGTAGTGTTAGACATCTGACAATTCATGTTGTCTTCAGCCTCAACAAGCTTTCCTCGGTACACTTCACCGGTCATAGTTTCAAGCGTGACAATATGTCCTTCAGCCTCGTGTAAAATTTTTATAGGAACCCCTATCGACATTTTTGAAACCAATAAATGTTCTTGATTCTTCAAAAGAACCTCTTGGCAAAGAAAAAGCTTTTTAAAAGCTCAGATGGATCGGATTTTACAAAGCTTTCCAGCCAACCACCTCGCTTGTCGAAGGGACGATTTGAAACGTACCAACCGAAGAAAACTGAGTACGAATATGCTTAGCGACCGAGCCTTCTAGTTAATTTCTTCACAACTTTTTCCTCATCGATTTCATTTTCTAGAAAAAAGAGGAAAGAAGGAATGAGGTGAAATCGTACTTATATTTCAAAATTTTGTTCCTATATGAGGCAATGGAAACCAATTCACTTTTGGTTAATCAAGAGATCACGATCACGGAGTGACAAGAAGGAACACGGCAAGTGAAAATCGTAAAACATGACAATAATTTCAAAGACCTTCAAACGAAAGATTAGAGGCAAAAAAGTCAAGGTGGGTATTGGTAAAATTATATTGCACACATATCCATCGAGCATATAAAACATCGAGTATTATTAACGCTGATGATGCCGAACGCGACGTCGATCCCCCTGGTGATGATGACTCTTCGCACGAATGTCATAGTAGGGGTGGATTGACGTCACGTTTGTTTGTAAACAACAAGTTCGAAACTGGATCAACCCGAATGGGTTCCCGCTCTGCCGGAAAAAAGGACATTAATATTTGCTTGGTTCATTCTGTTATGTCGTCTTATCGTACACGACTTCCCAGAACAGTTAGAAATTTATTTAAGACGGTTTCTCAATGAAATGTCTCGTCGACAGATCGAACTGCCGCATGTTCGACAGAGATCAGATTGGGACTGCGGCCTTGCGTGTTCTCTGATGGTGTTACAGAAACTCCTTGGCAATAAGTTCGACATCCTGGAATACGAAGGGATTTGTACGGCCAAAAACTTTGGAACTAGTGTTTGGACTATAGACATAGCCAATATATTCACAGAGTATAAAGCGGAGTACGTGTTCTATACATCGACACTAGGTGTGGATCCGAGCTATGGAGACAACTCATTTTACAAAGGAACGTTCAACATGGACGAAATGAGGGTCAATAGCTTGTTTAAAATGGCGCCGAATTTGGGGCTTAGAGTAGAAAAACGGTGAGTGTTGTAGGAATAATTATAACCGTAAAAGATTTTTTTAAGATGGTTTTATCGGGCTGACATAACAACTCTATTTTTTGGCGCGTGAATTACGGTAACTATAATTAATGATGCCTGTACGTGCGTGTCGTGTTGACTGTTCAGCTGATGTGTCTTGGTGGGTTCGTTTTTATACAGCATTTGTGTTCACCCGTGGCATTTACACGCTGGACGTTTTAGTGTTTTTAAACATCAATAGACGTTATTAGCTAAATTAAAAAGTAAAAAACTTTTAACGAGTGAATGCGGCGGGGCCAACGAATCTACCCTTTGTTGAGATGTACATTTCATTCTATTGTAATAAACACACTAAAGCTTTATTACAATATCTGGAATCTTAAACACTCGTGCATGAAATTCTGTTTCAATTCAGGAGGTAAACATAGTTTTGATTAAGAAACTCACGCGGGACAAGGCTCTCCTTCCAGGGTAAAGCTTTGTTGAATGTTTTTGCTGAAAGACGTATCCATGAAGTGAAGGGGAGCATTCCAGGGTCAAAGAGGAGTACTTAACTGAGGTCATATTATATGGCCCTGCTATTAAACACATTAACAGCACTGGTAATGAAGTAATAAGATGGGCTCTCTCGTGTTTAAGATACAGGTAGCTTTTATCAGTATACAATTGGAAATGTAATAATTTGCTTAGTCATGGTTTATGCACATGTATAAGAATAACACTGGTATCTGATTGCATGTTTTTATAGATTGGGGGTGTGGTTGGGGGTGTGACATGGTAAGGGTTATAACAAGCAGTGACAGGTTGATGAAATCTTTCATGTCCAAACCGTTAAGAGGTCACAAGTATCATCCGCCTTCCCAAAATATCAAAAATACTCAATATTAACAATACATTTGATCATATTTTTATGTTAATTTGCCCAATATAGATGATAAGCTTTATTACATGGATATACTTGCATCAGTAAATACAGATACAAACAGTTGAAAGTCATGAAGATGATTTGTAGGACAGTTGGGGATCCATATAAGACAAATTGGAGTGAAAAAGCTATACCGTATTTCAGTATTTAGAGCTGTAATTAAGTTTCAAAGCAGCCCATAGCAAAATATATTTAAGAATCACCCGTAATGTCACCTTTTAAGTTTTCCACTTTGATCACCCCTAACATCCAGGGAGCTCAGCAGTGTGTAACAAGTTTTACATTTTATGGCCTTAAATGACAGCTCCGAGTATTTATAGTTTTATTTCAACAAATGACTTTTTTTCAGTTCCTTATGTTTTAACTTTTTCCTCATACAAATGATTATCTGGTATTTTTCAGGAGAATTTCATTGGAGGAAATTATATCGAGGTTAATGAAGGGTTATGTTGCTATAGTCCTGGTCAACTCAAATGCGTTGATCTGCAACTGGTGTGAGATGTTTTCACCGAACAAACTGCGGATGCTCAATTGTGTGTGTCCATCAACTCAAAATGAGTACTGTGGACACTACATTGTGCTGTGTGGATTTGACGCAGACAAAAGACATATCTATTACAAGAATCCATCCTTTAATGATGATCTTTGTTGTGCAAAGTTTGATATGTTTGAGTTAGCAAGACACAGTTATGGAACTGATGATGACATCATATTTATTAAATTGAATGAACCTGAAATGAGCATGAAAGAGACTTTTATTGATATCAGCAACAAGACATGACAGGGACAACATTTTGATATTGGAATAGTATTACCTTGTTATTTTATGGGTAATCTTAAACCTGAATTTTGGTTGTGAGATCCACCTTAACTGCATTGAGTTGTTAATGTGCGTTAATTCCTTGTCAATATTTGTAGCATATGTACTTAATGGGAATTTATTGTTTAAAGCTAGTAAAATAATGTATTATGTAATGATAATGATAATGATAAATACATAATAATAATAGTAAATAAATAAGTAAATTATTGATGATGATGATGAACACTAATATTACTATTGTTGTAATTTGTTATTAAGTGGAGCAGCAAGGCGCATTTCACGGATTCATTGCTGCTCCCACTTAATAACAAGTTACAACAATAGTAATTAATTAGTTAATAAGAATTTTCACGGATGTCCTGCCAGATGTATATGTGTGATGCCAGCCGAGAATAAATAGGTCAGTAGTTAGCAAGTTAGGACATCCCTTTTATAATAAAATTTAAGATTGATCAGTCACTAGGTGTGACACCATACTCTGGTTTGAAGTGAAAATAAAGGTGTAATTCATTATTTACAAATAAATTTGTGGGGTTTGTTACACTGTGATTCACATCATCCATTGGTGCACAAACTAATATGATTCTAAGTGTTTCATAAAATTATTTTTCCAACAAATAAGATTATGGTGAAAGAAAATTAAGTTATGTTCAGGAATTTAAAAAACATGCACATAGTTGGCAAAAGTGTAGTTTGGTTATGATTTTTTTGTAGTGAAAAGACATGAACTTTGTTTGGAAAGGGTTGCAGATTAGTATGTTTTTACCCTCCAAATAATTTGCAGTCTTTGGGGTTTGGAAACTATGAGAGGGAAACACCTTGGCTTAGGATCAACCATGGAAAAATTGAACCAAGAAAGAGAAGCAAGAACAAACTCAAATTCCCAAATGGGAGGGGAAAATCCCAGGAAAAAATCTATTCCTACTGCATCGATAGAATGTCATTATTTTATAGTTGTTTATACCCTCCCTCTCAAGCTAAAGTTAGTCCCTGCCATTCTTCAGTCATATTCTTTAACTCTCTATAAGGTGGACACCTCCCTAAAACAGACAGAACCTAGAGTTGGTCCCATTCATTCTTCAGTCATTTTGACTCTCTATAAGGCACACACCTCCCTAAAACAGACACCTAGAGTTGGTCCCTGCTGTTCTCCAGTCAATTTCTTTGACTCTCTATAAGGCGAACACCTCCTTAAATGGTCCCCATCGTTCTTTAGTTATTTTCTTTGACTATAAGGCAAACACCTCCCATAAATGGACACCTAGAGTTGGTCCCTGCTGTTCTTCAGTTATTTTCTTTGACTCTGTATGAGATGGACACCTCCCTAACACAGACACCTGGAGTTGGTCTCCGCCATTTTTCAGTCATTTTCTTTAACTCTCTGAGATGGACACCTCCCTAAAATGGACACCTAGAGTTGGTCCCTGCTGTTCTTCAGTTATTTTCTTTGACTCTCTATAAGGTGAACACTTTCCTAAAACTATAAGGTGGACACCTCCCTAAAATGGACACCTAGAGTTAGTCCCTGTTGTTCTTCAGTCATTTTCTTTAACTCTGTATGAGATGGACACCTCCCTAACACAGACACCTGGAGTTGGTCTCCGCCATTTTTCAGTCATTTTCTTTAACTCTCTGAGATGGACACCTCCCTAAAATGGACACCTAGAGTTGGTCTCGGCTGTTTTTCAGCCATTTTCTTTGACTATCTATGAGACGGACCCCTCCCTAAAATGGATACCTGGAGTTGGTCTCTGCCATTTTTCAGCCATTTTTGTTGACTGTAAGACAGAAACCTCTCTAAGATAGACACTTGTACTGGTCCCAACACTGTCTAATAGAGAACTGACTGTAAACAAAACAAGTAAAGGGTACAGTTTTCAAGACAGTTATTTAGATTAGGACAGGATCTGGGAATTGGCAAAAACAAAATGGTTTACAATAATGTTATCATATTGAGAGCTTATTTTAAGAGTTCACTGAAACTTGGATAAGGTATAGGCTATAGGATAAAAGCTTAAGTCTTTTAGGAGAAGGTTCAGTAGCTACAGGCTAGCAGTGATATTAAAGCTTAGCTTATGTAAAATTGTATTATTTTATGATTCAAGGTTCCCTTATTTACAGAGGCCTTTATGTGTCAGTGGAAG